AGTGTGAGTGTGTGTGTGTGTGTGTGAGTGTGTTTGTGTGTGTGTGAGTGTTTGTGTTTCTGTGTGTGAGAGAGAGAGAGACACACATCTCATGAGCATGTATTTTGTCTTAAAACAGGGATAGATTACTTTAAGCATGAGTCATGTAGACTGTATTCAGTACTGTATACATGACTTGGACTTTAGAGATGTCATGATCAGATCACTGGAGGAAATACAGCTACCTCAACGGTTCATTGACACAGTGAAGGATGTTTATAGAGGCTCCTTTATCAAATTAATCTGTGGAGAACAGCTCACTCACCCAACACCACTTCAGATAGGCATTAAAACTGGCTGCCCTTGGAGTGCAATTAATTTTATAATTGCCATCAACCAATGGTTAAAGTGGATGTGTCAGTGTGCCCCCTCTGGTGTGATATCTCCTATCCCAGTACAGGGCTATGCAGATGATGTCCAGATTGCCTCCAGAGAAGAGAGCGCTCAAAATCTGATAAATATCCGGTGTTTACAATAGCAACAAAACCCATACGGGTATATTCTCTTCACGAGACATACACTTATCTTGGACATAAAATTAATATTGCAGGAGAATGGAAAGAGCAAGTAAACATCATCTTGTCACATGCAGGCTGGACTTGATTGATAAATGTCCACTGCCACTGATTATGAAGCTGGAGGCTATTAGACAGGTGGCACTGTCTAAAGTACAACATCTGTTCATATCCAGCAGAAAGTGCTGAGTGAAATGAATAAAAAAACAGTGAGCTTAGTGTGAAAGTGGTTTACACTTAATACGCATAGCACTCGTGATATTATTTTTCATCCCCAATGGGATGGAGGACTTGGGGTACCAAACATGATATACCGGCATGGTATAATGTACATGTGTCTAACTGCATCTGTAGTATTTATGTCCCTGTAAATTATTTATTTTAAGTGGATTTAAATAAATGGTTAAATGTGTGTGTGTCAGGACTCGGAGGTGTACAAGGCGTCGGTGAAGGAGGACATGCAGCGCTGGCAGGCTGCTCTGCGTCTGCACGGGTCGGTGGATTGGCTCATCGCGGTGGTGGAGAGCGACAACAAGAAGAAGAACAAGACCAACCTCCTGCCACGCACCTCCATCGTCGACAAGATCCGCAGCGACTTCTGCAACAAGCAGAGCGACAGGTGAGCTCCTGATCCCAGCATGCTCTGCTCTCCGACGCAGCAGCTACTGCTGACGATTACTTACACACTCAGCGTCTGAATGAACACACATGCAGCAGTCAGTCACAGCTGAGGCACAGAATCACCAATTCATCAGTGGTTATTATAAGTGTTTTGAGATTATCGATAACTGAGCCTGATCAACTGAACTCACTGCTGGGTAATTTCATGCTGTTTAGTTAGTCATAAGTATAATTGTTTACATTTATTTTATGTTTTTTTATACTTGGATTTTTAAAAAATGTTCTATAAATACAATTATAAAAAATAAAATGTGACCCTGGAGCACAAAACCAGTCATAAGGGTCAATTTTGTGAAATTGAGATTTATGCATCAGCTGAAAGCTGAATAAATAATCTTTCCATTGATGTATGGTTTGTTATGATAGGACAATATTTGGCTGAGATACAACTATTTGAAAATCTGGAATCTGAGGGTGCAAAAAAATCTAAATATAGAGAAAATCATCTTTAAAGTTGTTCAGATTAAGTTCTTAGCAATGCATATTACTAATCAAAAATTAAGTTTTGATATATTTACAGTAGGAGATTTACTAAATATCTTCATGGAACATGATCTTTACTTAATATCCTAATGATTTTTGGCATAAAAGAGAAATGTATAATTTTGACCCATACAATGTATTGTTGGCTATTGCTACAAATATACCCCAGCGACTTAAGACTGCTTTTGTGCTGCAGGGTCACATATGGTAATGTATTTAATGTGATGTAAGTGTGTAATGCAGACTGTGTAAGCCAGTGTCTGCTGTGTGTCTGCAGATGTGTGTCTCTGTGCGATCCGCTGAAGGAGTCGTCGCGCTCGCAGGAGTCCTGGAGCTCGTTCCTCACGAAGCTCCGCACGCTGCTGCTCATGTCCTTCACCAGGAATCTGGGCCGCTTCGAGGACGAGATGAGGACGCTGCGAGAGAAACGCACCGAGCCCGGCTGGAGCTTCTGCGACTACTTCATGGTGCAGGTGTGTGATTGACTGAGGGTGGTGTTACTTTCGTTAACGAAAACTGTGACAAAAAATGTTCGTTGACGAGCTTTTTTCCCACGACCAAGACGACAATAAGGTCAATAAACGATAACTATGAATATATCAACATGCAATTTCGCTGACGATAAAAGACGAGACTAAAATGTATGCAAAAAATTAAAACTTGACCAAAAACCTCTTTTTATTTTCATCATAAAAGAAGACAGTGTTATTGCAGACTGCTCTACACTCCTCTACTACATCAGCTTTCATGAGTGCGGTTGCCAGATATCCAGAATTCTAATCCCCGAGCTTCGCTGATACATTGATACATTTTCTGCCCGGTGTTTTGCTTATTTTAAGCAGTCTGGCAACCATGCGCTCGCTCTTCAGTGCTTCATTGAAAACAGTGACACTGGTTTCTGAATAAATGCACTTACTCAACCGCTGTTGTTTTAATAGAGAAACAGGCTATTTTATACCAGTTTTCATAATGTAGACAGAGAGAGTGCATAAGTCTTTGGTATTAATTTATATAATAAAAAGCCTATAATAAATCAGTACATTAGATGAGGGAAAATACACCACGAGTTCTATTGATTTGTGTTTACTGGTGAAAGTGCAACTAAAAATAGCTGATAAAATTAACACTAGCTGAGGAAGCTGTCAATCACAGTGTGCAGATATCAAATATGTGACCCTGGAGCACAAAACCAGTCATAAGGGTCAATTTTTTGAAATTGAGATGTATGCATCATCTGAAAGCTGAATAAATAATCTTCCATTGATGTATGGTTTCTTAGGATAGGACAGTATTTGGCTGAGATACAACTATTTGAAAATCTGGAATCTGAGGGTGTAAAAAAATCTAGTGTGTGTGTGTGTGTGTGTGTGTGTGTGTGTGTGTGTTGATCAGGAGGAGCTGGCGTTTGTCTTCGAGATGCTGCAGCAGTTTGAAGACGCTCTGGTCCAGTATGATGAACTAGACGCTCTTTTCACACAGTATGTGCTCAACTTTGGCGCAGGAGGTAAACCGTCATCTGTGCATTAATGTCTTGTGCTACACAGCTTCACTTAATATATAAAAAAGATATATTTTATATTCATATATACAAAAGGCGATATGAAAAACCTACTGTAATCTGAGAATATTCAGTGTGGGCTTTATAGTGGTTGTGCTTCAGGAATAATTAGATTATGTTGAGATATGATATTGTTGGTGAGTGTTATTTTTCCACCATCCATACAGCCTCGATTACATCAGTAGAAAGATTCTTAAATCACAATGTGTTTTTTATTTTAATATATTTTATATTTTATTGTATTTTATAAAGTATGTTCATTAAAAATGTAATATAATAAATACTTTTTTTAATAAACACGGTATACGGTATTATCACGATTAGTGTTGTCAAAAGACCCGGTATTTCGGTACCAAGTCGGTACTAAAAAAATGAAAACGTTACGGTACCAGGTTTTTTTAAGTACCGGTGGTACCGAGTACCTGGTCAACCCGGTTCTTGAAGCGCTATCCAAGAGCTATCCTCTTCCAGTGTTTGAATTGGGCTGCTTAACACTGTTGCCGCGGGTTGTTTTTCATGTCCGCGGGTTGAAAAACGACCCCACTAACGTGA